AACACAGGCGCGGATCTAGAATTGAAAGAAGAGGGGCTAGTAAAGTGAGTTACTGCCATAATTTGTTGCGCATGTCGAATAGTACAAAGTTTTTTTTACGTCTAATTTTTTTAAATATTTTTTAAGTCCGATATACGAATAGTTCTATCTAACATCTAAAGGGTTTTCAGCCCCCGTCGCCCCCTTTTATCCACGCCTATGCTCACGTGAGCTAATAGACACGATTTACGTTCAATGTCGTTCGAAGCTCGTATTTATACACAATTTGTAAGCACTTATGATTTTGCATAAACTATGTTACCGAACGTTTTATTATTTTTATTTCAGATAAAGCGTTATCCGACCGCGACTGCGTGTATTTGTGTGATTGAAGTGTTTGGATTCGTACATTATAGATTGTTCAGGTGTGTAAATCATAGATTTTTAGTTGTATAAACTTATATTACTATAGAAATGGATCTTTTTTCATGTTCTTCATATGTAAATTTAAGTATTAATAATTATTGTAAATGTGTTATTAAACAATTTTAAATAAAATCATTTGGGTCGTATACTTTTGTTGTAAACAGAATACTTTAAGTAAAGGTAAATCAACTCCAAAACATTTAAATTTGAAAAAAAAGTTCGATATTTTATCTTATCATATTATGATTCTAACAAATAGCTATCTAGTTGTTAAGAAACTTAAATTATATACATATTATAATAATTATATCAATTAAAAAAAAAAAGTCTATCACCGTTCAAATTACAAAATTATTTCTATGCCGTCGATCTTAAAGACTTACAAAAAAAGGATTTATTTATTGTTTACATAAAACTATAATTTGTTTATAAATTGTTAAAAGTTAAAAAAATAAAGTTAAAAAAAAAATTTTCTGAAGAGTTTTATGTATGTTTTTACCAATGAAATATAAGTGACTATAGATTAGCGAGTATTAATAAATTTCCAATACACTAGTTTTTACAATATACTTTCTCAAAACCCACGCTACGCTACTGATACATGTGTATTTAATAAATAATAATATATAGTGCTATATCGTACTACTGTAATACGAAGATTATCACCGAGATAAACCTTGTATAAACAAAAACGTGTACCAGTTTTACCCTTACGAGCTGTGTTGTACATTCAATTTTCTTATGACGGGGGATTAAATTGTAAACATATTTTTTGTCAATCATCATCAAACGTCTATTTTTATACCTCCTCGGGCGAAAAATTAATATTTTCGTAATTCCATCATAATTAATGAATACTACATTTTATACACATGTTAAAATATCAAAATATTCCTGATAAGCATATTTTTTGTTCTAACAATTTCAATACTGGATTTTTTTTTAATTCTTGGGGGATTTATCCTTCCCGAACCCCCCTCTCCTCATTTATACACCACTGCCTACGAAACCTCTTTTATATAAAAATACAGAAGGCAGTAGTTACAAACACATTCTTATAAATATAGATTACTTAGATATTCAAGGGCACGGACAGGTGAAAATGCATTCATTTAAATATAATTTTATGAAAATACACGATGGATAGAAAAATGTTTTCCATTATGATGTACTCTAATGATAATGACTATTTGTCCACCTGTCTCCTCGTGACCACCACTTAGTAGGTACCATAATAATTATTGTCCAAGTGTAAGTGTGTTACGTGCATATTCAAGATATGAATACATAACCTAAACATCCATAACGGTAAAATTGTAAGATATCTTAGTGCATAGGAACATACGTCGAAAACGTTATTTGAAAATGGTCACATATGTGACTTTATGCACTCGACAATCGATTGTTGCGTGCGTAACGATGACGAAATCATTTAACTAACGAAATCTGGCACGAACTAATAAAATTCTCGCCGTGAATAAATACAATACCGATTAAGTAATTCGATTCGTGTTCAAAATATAGAGAACGCGGCAGTCCGTGTTTATTGCGTACCGGTCTTTTTTTGTTTTCGATAACACAAATACAAGTGTTATGTCATCCGAACAACTATTGTACCCGGAAAAGATTACCAAAAAACAGGTTTACAATCGATATCGATAGCCTTCATTTCCAATCGAGTTAAAATAAACGTAACGGCGACGACGGCATTTGGGGGAACATTGAACGCCGTGACGTCCTTCGCGTATCGCAGAACCGTTCCAACGATCGCGAATCGGTCGAACCGGACGAGATCGATCCGCGAGAAAAGGTCTTACAGTTTATCTTTTTAAAAACCCAATGGAAACGGTCGCGGTACGTTGTTCTAAAAACGCGAGTTTCGGTCGTGCGTCGGAACGTAAGGGATCCAGTGCGAATTGTCGAATTTTCTGTTCCGAGAACGCGACGATCATTTGTTTTAATATTACGCACCACGAGCGACGGCTGCTGAAAAACCGGTTTCGGTCGCCGAGCGGTGTAACAACGGCAGCGGAGAGCGCGACACAGGCGTGCGACGAACCGGTGCGTGTGCGTGTGCGCGTCCCAGACCGTTCGAGTGCGCCGCGTGGTGGTGAACCGCGTGCAATGTACGGTGCGGACGGTGGTGCGCCCCGTGTGGAGTATCGCGTGGTGGCGGTTCCCTCGTAATTTTATCTGCTGCGGACCCCCCCTCCTCGCACTCGTAATCGCTCACTCCGTCGTCCTGCCGCCGCGCACCGTCTGCCACCGGATGGGTCTTTGTTTACTACGCTGCAGTCCACCGAGTGCTGATAGCCGCACCGTTTACTATTTTCCCTTTCCACTCCCTATTAAAACGCTCGTTCGTCACTGCTACTCCGTTTCCCCCCCCATCACCATCACGGTCCGCGTACGTTTATCCAGATCTCGCTCGGCACTGGCGGTAGCGAACAAATAATAAACAAAACAAAAAAAAAAAAAAAAACAAAATCATCGCCGTCGTTCAGTACGCAATGTGTATTCGATTGTAACGTCGTAAGGTCCCGTCTCACCCAGTGTCGTCGTTTTTACCGTCCGCCGGGTACTATCTTCGCGGTGACCAGTGTCCGTTGGCTAGCCGTTATTTCGTCTCGCGACATCCACCGTCAGTGCCGTTTCCGTTCCGTAACGACTTTGTTTTCGACTCGAATATTCGGCGTGTACCGGTAAGGTGCGACGAACCTATGGCCCTAACCCGTCCAGAAGAGTGTGTTTCGGTTAGACTATTGCTGGCGCTAATCCCTTGGTGTTTGATTCTTACGCCGTCGCCAATATTGTTTTAATGTCCGTCCGATCAGAACTACTGCTTGTTGCTGAATCAATTGCTGTGTCTTATCAGCCTTAAACGTCGGTGATGCGACTGTTACATGATGAAAGTCACCGTCTGTTTTGGTAACACTAGAGTGATCGTCCCATGTGGACGAGGAGAAATATTAGTCAAAGACCTCATACATCAGGCCATCACTCGATACAAAAAAGCTACTGGCAAGGTAAGTCATGTCACAATGCCTGTTTTATGACTCATGTTTTTCTGCCCTCCGATAGCGATTACAAATAATTCCTTTTTTAATGAGAAGATATTGTAATACTTACCATTTGTGGTTCGACCATGGTTGAAGTTTGTCCTTAAAATCAACACGACAGTTACCTAGTTTTATTTATTCTAGACTGTAGGTGTTAATATGGTTTTATTTATTTTATATTTCAATACTTGTGTAATTATCACTTAATATATAGAAGAACATTTATGAAATATTGTTATTTAAAGTTGATTTTTTTTTTAAAGAAACAATCAATTTTTTCCCTTAATAAACTAATATAATTATTATTATAACATTTCATATAAAATATTGAAATGCCCTTTTATACATGACTATATAATTTTATTTAAGTTATTCTTTAATGAATTTATTCTAGGTTTCATTATAAATTATTAGTTATTTTTCTTCAGACACTTTCCCTTATTAGAAACTGTTACAAAACCTATTATAAATTAATGAATAAAATTATTTTCATATATATCTGTTATAGTACATAATATAATTAAATCAACTGTAGTTTTATAAGTCTAGTAGTAAATATGTATCATTTTCAATAGGAAAAGATTATAATATATATTATACTCCCAACCTTATATTACTGTATAGCTCTTTAATTAAATAAACATTAAAATTAAAACAAATTGTGTGACTACTATTTAAATTTGAATATTTAGGTAAATATCATTGTAATAAGGCAAAACACTGTTATAAATTGTCTTGTCTAATTCATTTTAAATAATACTTATTACTAAATAGTAAAAAAAAGTATCAACCAATTGTTATTTTTAGTAAGCCACTAAGTATGAGTAAGGCAAATACTTTCATGAAATAATTATGTTTTTATAAAGATTTTAAATTAATCATAAATTGAAAAATAGATAAACATATAAAGAATACCTATTTATTTTAATTAATGGTTGTTATTCTTGAGATGCATAAAAATAGTAATAACCTACATCTGTTTTTAAACATTATAAAAGGTGGTTTACAAATTGAAGAAAATCATATCTGGTATTTATAAGATATCTATATTGTTAAGAATAGGAAAATATCAAGTGTTTTTATCAAGGATTTCAACATACTTCTATAGCTATTGAAACAATTTATTCAAGAATACAAAAATACATCCTTCTAACTATGTAGGTTATTTAAGATCAGACTGTTTGATATAAATCAGGAGTGGCCAACCAAAGTGATCTTGCAGGGAACTTTGAAATACATTATGATTTTGTGGGCCATATATAAGATTATATTAGTATTTTGCCCCAATACAAAAAATTTTGAAGTAAATATTTTAAACAGGATTAATTATTATTATAAAATAAGTTTTAGTGTATTAATTACTTGAAATAAACAGAATGAATTATTACTGTTTTTATTATGACTCATAATTTATTAACATTAATAATGTATTATTTAATAGTTTTAATTTATTTATTTCACTATTTAGTGTTATATTTTTTTTCTTAACTCGTTCACTAAGCTTTTGAGAATTGAAAGAAATTCTTGTAATTGCACATCGTAATTGATATTGCAGGTTTTCATCTGTTAGATTTGATTGTGATTTATCTTTGGCGAATTTCATTTTCGAAGAAATAAACGATTCACTTGTGTAAGTCGATCCAAAAGCACTTACAACTTTTTGTGCCAGATTTCTCAAATTGGAAAATTTTTCTTTTGTGATTTTAATATTATAAAAATATATTTGTGATTTTGGTGTTTCAAAAATGTATTTTAATTCATTATTGCATTGTAAGTCAATGAGTTCCATTTGAAGATATTCTAGGGCCAACCTGATATCAGTATAAAAAGGAGATGAAAATATTTTCTTGTATTAAACTAAATTAGTGGAATGACTTTCAAAAGCAGCTGTATGTTTCTTTATTATTTTTGAATATTTATTGTTATCTTTATGATTTGAAATTTTCAATTCGTTTAGCAATGTATTGAACGTTTTTATTTTTTGATTGAAATAAGGTTGTATGTTGTTTTTAGGTTCGTACTTAAATCAAATTAAAATTTTCAGCATTTTAATTTCAACTGTAGTATTTGGTCATTTTATTTTTTCTGTAGAATTATTTTTCAAATTTTAGTTTACCTATTGTGAAAATAATAAATATAAAAATCTTAGTTATGTATTGAAATCAACTAATTTATATTAGTTTTATAAATTATTGACTTATTTGGAAAATTAAAAAAAAAAAAAAAACCAGTAATAATCATGCTTTATGAACATCATATTACAAATAATAATGTAAAATATTAAATCTAAAATAAATGTAATTGGAATAATTTAGTTAAATAAATAACTTAAATGTTAATTTACCTATATTTTTTATTTTATTTTTATTTTTTGACTTGTAGCAAAATAAATATAAAGTTGTATAAAAAAAAAAAAAAAATATTAAACTTGATTTTAGATTGTATAAGATATGTTACAACTTATATCTTAAGCTAGAACAACATTCCATTATAATTAAATCATTCTGATGCATGACTTAATATACCTGGTGACATTATTTCAACAAATACATAAGTATTAAGATGAGTATTGTTATGAAAAAAATCAAATATTTGTAGTATATTATAGTAGGTAAATACTTTGATAAAACCTGTAGAGCTCAATTTATTATCATAATATAACTAACAAAAAAGTAAGCTTAATAGCTCATAATTTCAAATAATCTCTTTAAATAAATATTAATAATTAATAACAATGATAATAATTATAATAGTGATTATACCAATTATTAGTAGGTAAATTTATTAATTACAGATTAAGTAACATATATATTAAGTATCATTTGTAAGACAAACATATTGGCATTCAATTATTATATGAAATAAGGGTACTAAATCAGTGTATAAATAAATTAAATTCTGGGTCTGTATTGAAAATGTACAAAAGTATTAACAGTTTTTATTTTAAATATTTTTTTCAAAATCATTAATAAATAACTTGAGAAATAACTAGTTTCTTTTAATAAAACTGTTTTACCTCTGATTTTACCATAATCGTCATAATTGTTTTCCTCGTTTTTTTCAGTTGTTGAATACATTTTTCATATTCTCTAAAATGATTATTATAATACTATACCTATCCAAAATTATAAATAAAAGATTACTGTATCTTTGTTTATTTTATTTAAGTCTATGAAGAGCTTAAAATCTCAAAATGGTCTTATATTTTCTTACAAAAATGTTTGTTGATCTGTATACATTTTTACTAATGAAAGTCAACAAGGTCATTATTGGGCAGTGTAGATGATCATTCTGGTTCTGCAAAACTGTCTATGCATGTACATATTATGTATAACATATTGATATATATATATATATATTATGCTCACGCCTACATTAGCATGTACAAGGTCTCTTAGATTCGCTAATTTAGTTAACTTTTAATGGGCTTATTCCCAACTTTAAATATTCATGGATAATATTAGCACTTACCATTCAATATAAAAATTAATATCTTAAATTTAAATTAAATTTTGCTGCATAAGACTTTAATATTTTACTATTTTATTATTTTAACTAATATTATTATTATTCACTTGGTTAATATTTAATGGGATTCGTAAAATTGATCTCATGTATAATGTCGGTTGTATTCGTTTTTAGGCTATAAAAATATTTTTGAAGAAAATAAAAATATAATCGAGATTATCATTTTTGTCATTTTGATAAAATCGTCGTGCGTAGAATATAAATTGGCGTATGCTACTTGAAAAACCTTGCTGTGGTCTGCTGCTCATGATTGTAATAATTTTGAATAATATTACATTATTTAAGTAAACTGAAATGGCCTTGGGGTTACTATGGTTACCAGTTTTTGGCTAAAATGAGTATTCATCACGTGTTTTGAAAAAGAAGCCTCGGAACATTATATTATTCCATATCATAGCTAAGACTGATGTACGATAGACTGTTTGAAATGTATTTTTATGAAATTGTACTTTAATTTATTAAAAATACTCGATAGTTTTTGGAAGACTACGTCTTATTGTATTATTTTATACATTTATAATATTTTTTGGAATATTTGTTAATTGTTTACCGTTTACAATAACGGCCCAAATAAAACCATGTGTAAACTAATTCATTCATTTTCGTAACACGTCAATATAAACAGGCAACGATCAATTGACTCTTGTGTACAATCATCACAAATCATGTTTCGCAAAAACTTTTCAGTTTTTGATAATTCATAAAATAAAAATTTAATTCAGTTAGTTGGTTTGTTCGATTAAACTTCAAGCTATAATTGTCATTATCAAAAGCACTTGTTTATTATGGTTATATCTACAGTCGACTTATTGCTTTATGACATCAAATATTTGGGTCAGCTGATACTTAATAATTAATTGGCGTACGTATGTGATTTGATTGGTATCGATTATCTTTAAAACACCTTGCTCTTTGTAATTATCTAATTTCGTATTTTTTTTACAATAATTTATCTCATTTTTATCATAATCATATTTTTAAATTTTATTAATTTATTTTATATTATAACGCATAATGAAGTCGAAATATACATAATTACATAAGTTAATAACCTAATGAATATTATATTATAATAATTTATTAATATTTTAAGGTTTATGTTGTGGTTACTCCGAGATTAACCTTTATGCAATTTCGTATTGAAACCTTACTAGATATTAGTTATTCTTAGAGTTTGTTTTTATATTTGTTTTTTTTCACGTTCAACTGGGAAAAATACTTTTATTTAATTTTAAGTCTTATAAGTACCTATAAATTATATTATATTACCTATTTGACAATAAATTATCAAATATGTACTTGGTAAATATATTTAAATAGTTGAACCATGAATTTTAAAAAGGGCTCTTATCTGAAAATTAAAATTTTTCAGGAATCTAAAAAAACTGATTTTCTATTAAATTTCCTTTATTTCATCAATTAACAATATTTAATCAAAT